ATGATTTAGGGGGATTTTGTGAAAAAGTTGATGAGTGAGTGGCAGCTTTCTTTCAAATCAAAAAGAAGCTGGCTCTAAAGAAAATCTATGTAAGATGTTCTACAGGTGGCATCTTCCTCCCACAAGATTAGCAAAAATGGACAAAAAATCCTCGTCGATATGTTGGAAATGTAGAGAATCACCAGGGACTTACTACCACATGTGGTGGGAATGCCCAAAAGCTCAAGAAATTTGGCATCTGATAAAAAATTGGCTGGAAGAGATATTATCATTAAATTTTGAATTAAAACTAGAAACCTTTTTATTAGGGATTACCAAACATAAATTCAGCAAAGGATCTTTATATTTATTATTGCACATTCTAACTGCAGCGAGACTAGCCTACGCTCAGAAATGGAAGGGAAAAGAAACCCCTACTGAAGAAGAAGTAATAAATAAAATCCTATCCTGCCGCTGAAATGGATAGGTTAACATTAGAACTCAAAAATAAAACGGAAACAGACTATTTCGAAATTTGGAATGGAACGTTTGCCCACTATAGAAGAATGGTCACTTAAAGTCTCAAACTTAGCAGAAATGGCCAAGATTTCCGCTTATGTGAAGGACTATTCACAAGAAAGATATATTTCGGTTTGGAGAAGATGGATGGATTATATTGAGAGTAAATATGGGACTAAAAAGTTTCATTTGGTTTTTGAGTAAATTTTAGGGTATTAATGTAGTTTATATGTTATAATAGGTTACTTATTTTTATTTATGATTATTAATATGATGTTATAATTATTGTGTTTAATACTAGTATATTTGTTTAAAAGAGAGTTAAAGGATGTCATAGATTTGTTATTCTATTAGTTGATTAATGCTAGATAGAGTATAGTTATTGTATTGTTAACCCTGTGATTGGCTCTGGGAAGTGGGGGGGAGGGAGGGGGGAGGGGAAGGGTGGGTTTAGGGGAGGGGGGAATTATATTATAAAACTTTTATAAAATTTTCAATAAAAAAAAGAAAGAAAGAAATTTGGAATGAAGTGTATAAATGGCTAGATTTAAAGAGGCCTGCTGGGATGAATGTTGATGAATAAGATGATAATTTAGAAATCTTTATACCAGTATTCTTTATATAAGATAGAATTAAAAGTTATTTAACCACAATGTATATTATTGAAAGAATGCTCACTTTGTTACAATGTAAAGAAACTTTTTATTTTTTATTTTTTACAAGGTAATACCAATAGTATTGTTCAAACCAGGGAAGTTGTATCATGCCCAATGTGTCTTTTTTGTTATTAACTGTAAATTCAATAAAACTTTGTAAAAAAAAAAAAAAAGAAGAAGCTGGCTCATACACCATTTTATATCACTTTGAAGTAAAGACGACCTCTTTATTGCATATACACACATATTCATACATAGTAGTGCTCATTATAAACATGGTTGCCCTGATGTCAAACTGGCTCCTTCACATGAGTAAGCTAGAGGGATTCTGATGCTTTTTTATACAAAGTAAGTGTTAAGCTTGCATGCCAGGTGTCAAACATAACATTTTATTTAAATATAATTTCAGTTCTATTGTTTTTGCATACTTGAGCCCACTTCAAGAACTGTCCGGACACCCCAATGAGAGTGAGATCTGATAAACTATGTCATGCATCCTGCAGGTTGTGTGAATCCAGCCAATTATCAGCTCTTCAACAAACCCCAACTAAGGAAAGAATGACTTCATGAACTGTGGAAAGGACCTTGGGAGATGGGGGGAAAAGATGCTGCTTAGGGAACAGTCGGATAATTGGGGGACCCCACAGCTGCATAACAGGCAAAGAAAAAAACTGAGAAGGGATCCCCCCTAACTTATCAGGCTGCAGAAAGAGATGGAAGCAGATGTGTACTTTCAGACTTGCAAGATTCTGTTAATGTAGCCTCACAGTAAAATGGAATTAGTTCATCTGGTCTGTTTCCTGTCTGGTCCACCTGAGAAAGCTGACAAGTTAGGAATATTCTCCATCGCGTAAGCTTCTCACTGCCCGTATGAAGGGACAGTGACCCAAGTTTTCACTTCTGCCAAGATTGAATCTAAATAGATTTGGCCAGGCTACAAAAAGAAATACAACAAAGTTCCCGTAACTATAGCAGTTTCTCAAGTTTCTTCCATGGCCGAGCTGTGGTGTTAATGATTCCTTAACCTTCTAATGCATTTACCATTCTACCCGGTTACATCTTGATATTGTTAACTATAGATCCACAGTTGGATTCTGATTTACTGTCACCAGAGTCAGTTCCAGATAGCAGGCCAGTTTTCTTGTTCAAAAACTTTGTTTGCTTTCACTGTTACGGGAATGCCTTTTTGCCTCAGCTCGGCAGCAATTTCCTAGTTTACTGCTATTAAAAGAAGAAAGGGCTAAGCCAAGCTCTGATTTATGAAACACCTGCTAAATTCATTAAAAACCTTAAAAGATTTAGTGCATTTTACCAAGGCTTTAAATCTAGGCAAGTGTTTAAAAACTTAATGCTGTGTGTATTTCATCCAAAACACCCTTTTAAGGTTTGTTTTGGAGCTGAGCATTTGGATTGACAAATATTGCTGATATTTCGTTACTTGGTTTTATAAATTGGCCCAGAATTCTTTGGACAGGCTTGCTCTATAACATATACATAAAGAGAGCGCTATAAAGCGGAGACAAAATTATTCTCCTTCGCTGACATTTTAGATGAGTTTTTCTCCTTATGCTTCTGGATAGTCTTTTCAGAAGTTACAGTAATTTGGCGCACCAGATTTATAGAACTGGGAATAATGTAAGAGCTTACACATTGTTTTCTATTCCCTTTTCTTTAGTGGTTTTAATTTGCTGGTGGATTCGCAAACTAAGATTAGCACACAAACTTCTGAAATCCCGAAAGCAGCTTGAAGTAGGCCAGCATTAGGCAGAGTTTGCTGATTCTGAAACCATGCAAACTATAGTAACTGATAATCTGCACACCAAAGGTAAAATTCTAATGAAAGGGAATCTCTTCGGGTTTTTTACCAAACCAGATCAGGACTGAGAGTAAGAAATACCTCTCCAGACGTTTCTAACTGTGTCAAGAGTTGCAAAGTCATTCTTTGATTAACTTATTATGGAATACATACATTCAAGTTATTGACTATCACCCTGATTGGATCTTTAATTATCTTATTCACACATGTCCAACTATAGCCAGCTTAACTAGGTTATCCTAAATATATCAAAACTGGTTGGGTTTATAGGTATGAATGTATTAGTATAATTTAAAAATGACGATATGTTAAGGTGAAATGAAACAGACCGTTTTGTGCAGAGGGTATCCAAGTCCTGTTGTTTGCAATTCATGGTTTATGGCTTAATCTGGGGTATGAACTCAACCATTATTACTTTTATCAATTATTTACCAACAGTCATCATTTATTCAACTACATGTGGCGCAAAACCCTACCAAGCCAGTTAAGTGACTGAAACACGGCGGCCATAGTCATGATTTGCTACTGTCTTCGTGCAATAATGTATCCTCCCAACCTAGATCGCGTAATTTTTTTTTTCTCTTACCTCTTAAAAAGTATCGTTGAACGTCTTCATCCAAGCGCGGGCTGCCAATTCAAAAAAGGGAAGCCAGCCAGCCAGCCGTGACCCACGTAAGCCACAGCATCTTCTCCCACGTTTCGAATCACACAACCTCCACCCTTCTTTGCCACAGACGAGGCTGCGTTCTGGGAAACGCGTCTGCTTGCCCCGCTGAGTTCAACGCCGACTTGGGTAAAAACCACCATTCCGACGTTCCGGGTTAACACGCTGAAGAAGGGAACTGGAGCCGGCGGCGAAGGAACGGCTCCAAGGGCTCTCGCGCCCTCTGTCGGAGAGAAGGAGAAGTAGAAGAAGAAAAAGAAGGCGGCGGCGGCGGCGGCACGCCAAGGGGCGGGGCGAACATTGAACCTTGGCGGCGGCGCAGGCAGATGACGTCAGGAGCGCGACTGACCCGGAAGCCAAGGACGGCCATAGCAGCAGGAGGCGCGGGCGGCCGTAAGTGTGCCAAAGGGCTGCGAAGCGCCGCAATCCGCCTGGCTGTCTTTTTCCTGCTAGGCCGGCGGCGCCTCGTTTCCCTCTCTTCCCTCTCGGCGGTGCTCCCGGCCGGGCTCCGCGTCTTCTTTCCGGCTGTAGGGAGTCTCTCATTACTATCTCCACCTCCCTCCCCAACCGGGTGCTTTGGCCAGGCCGCCTTCTCGCTCCTCTCGCCCCTTTTCTATGGGCGCGGAGAGCAGAAAATAATATATACGGAGGATTATTTTTTATTGATGCTCTATGGAAAGCATGGGCTTCAAGCTAGGAGGGAAAAACAATCCATGAATAATAATAATAATAATAATAATAATAATAATAATAATAATAATAGTTAATAATAATAGTTAATAATAATAATAGTTAATAATAATAGTTATTAATAATAATAGTTAATAATAATAATAGTTAATAATAATAATAGTTAATAATAATAATAGTTAATAATAATAATAATAGTTAATAATAATGTTGGAAGGGACCTTGGAGGTCATCTAGTCCAACCCCTGCTCAGGCAGGAAACCCTATAGTACCATTTCAGACAAATGGCTGTCTAATTAACACTAATAATATAACGTCCCAGTTTTTAGCTGCAAATTTTGTCCTCCGCTTAAGGCACAGCCAGGTCCTTTCATTTCATTCAAGCTCGGCTTTCCCAGGTCTGGTTGCCTTCCAGGGATGTTGTAAAACCTTCCAACTTTATCATTATTATTATTATTACTTTCAGGTAGCCCTTCTGGGCTCCTGAGGGAAAAAAAGTCTGTTGCCTTTTTTCTTTAGTGGAACAATTTCGACAGCAGTTTCCTCTATTTGTTATGTGGCTCTTCTCTCATTTACTTATGTACAGTTTTCATATCTGTTCTCTGGAGAGCTCGGATAGGTTGGTGGGGGGGGGGGTGTCTTCCTTTGGGAATTTCCCCACAACAATCTTGCGAGATTCCTTGGAATGAGAGTGTCTGGGCTTAAAGTAACTGTGTGAGCTCCGTGGTTACTTAACGTAAAGGACTCTTTTGTGTATTTTTATATGTTTTTCAACAGATCCGGTCCAATAAAACCTTATCTTTGTAATCCAAAGAAAATGAGGGCTGGGGAAGGAGGCAGAGCAAAGTCCCAAAGGACGAAACAGTTGTCTTTCTAAAGCAGGAGTGGCCCATCTTGGCAACTTTAAAACATTGCTGGCTGAGGAGTTCTGGGAGTTGAAGTATACAAGTCTTAAAGTTGCCAAGGTTGGACATTGCTGTTCTAAAGGAATAGGTAAGGTGGGAAGAATAGAAAATCATTTACAGATAGATAAAGGTGCCAGGTGAACTTTAAAAAAAAATCATTTAAGTTTGTCAGGAGACTAAGTTAATATACCTGACTTCACTATGCCAGGCCAGGACTTGTTGAACAACTTATAGTTGGTTCAGTTGTTAAGTAATCAAGCTTAGTTCATGCATATAACCATCATTATTTAGCAGTCACAGCTTATTGTTTAAAAATCATGAGCTTAGTGACTTTTGCAACTTACCTCATTCTCTTCTGTTGGAACTTTATTCATGAAGCTGATGAGCACTGCATTTGTTTTTCAGTTGTGAAAATTTAGAATTGGGTAATAAGGAATACCATTGACTTAATATAGTTGCAGCCTACAGAAACTGATTGCTTGATGTGCATTTCCTACCATTGGGATATGCCACAAATCATAGGCGTACTTGCAGATTAAGCTCTTCTTGGTTGTCTAAAGAGCTGTTTGGCAAGCTGAGAGAAGCATGAACTACAAGCATTGAAAAGACATGCTAAATTCTTCCTGCCTGGCGTCCTTACGACTACCGGTAGCAATGGTTGACAATTCAAAGAACTGGCAACTTGGGCGCTTTTGTGAGTCACTTGGAAGGCTTCTGAGGATTTTGAATGAGAGGCAGTCATTAGCATTTCGAGGTTGTTTGCTCTTTGCAACCTAATTTCTTTAAACACAACACAGCATCACAAAGCAAGCATACTACCCATCAGAATTTGGGCCATACTGATAGGAAAAATGTAAGCGTGGTCCATGAATCTTAGAATGGGACAGGACAATGGGGTAATTTAGTCCAATTCTCTGGTTCATCAAGATAAAGCAGGGGTGTCAAACTCGCAACGTCACGTGACGTGTCGCACTGTCGCAACTTTTTCCCCATTGCCAAAGCTGTGGTGGGTGTGGTTTTGGCATGATGCATCTGGCCGGTGGGCGACAGTTTGACATCCCTGGGATAAAGCATCAGTATTCTTGCCTGACCTAGTGCTACCCAGAAATTGGGAATTGCAAACCAGTATATTTCATTAGAATCACGTTTTTGAGGCTTAAACATCATTATCACTGACCTATAACAATCTCTGCTTTAATATTGAAAAGGAGAACCTATCACTTGCAATCTATTCTACAGCTGAAAATTTCTTGCACTTACTGTAAAGACTTTAGCCAAACTCTTGTTTCCACATTGTGATTCTAGTCCTATCTTTTAGAGACACAGGAAAGTCTTAATTTCTGCATGAAGAATATGGTGCTGTTGGCACCAGCCACAGATTTCCTTAGGGTCTGTGCTGGAGAAGTTTACCCATGGATTGTGTTTAACATTAATAAAATGTCTGTGGCACTATTTGAATGTTCAGCATCAGGTCCTACGTAGCAAAAGTTACAATCAGCAGCCCAATTCTTACAGTTCTCTTCTGATCACATTTTTATTTCACATGAATGCTGTAGTTGGCAAAACATCTAAGGAATGAAATTGATACTATATATACGCTTTCCAATAACTTGGTGTTGGTAAATTTGGCAAATTAGACAAATAATGCTCTCTGTTGGAGAGAAGAATAAAGCTGGGCTCCTTGGTGTGAAAAGAAATTTGGTTTATTCACTTTCTAGTTTATGAGATTTCATTGGGCCCATGACCACTGATAGTTGTGAAATTGATTCCTGTTGCCGAGAGGCCTGAAATTTTGCTCCTGCCACCCTAAAAAGCAGCTGAGATTTGTAGGATGTCACAGTACTGTAATCAAATTTAATAAGAAATACAGGTTAACATATCTTCTAGCTATGACATGAAACAGCCTGAATATTCCATGGCAATACGGTTGGTCATCGAACACTAAAAGTAAATATGTAACCCAATTTCCAGTTCTTTCAGAGAACAAACGGCTGCCTATTGATGGAAAAAGTATGCTGGGTGTGTGGACTTTGATCCAATCATGCAAGGAAAGCATTATGTGATCCGATCATGTAAGATTAACGATAACATGAGACAGGACAGCCTGTCCTCAAAGCAGAGAAGTGGTGTCTTGCACAGATTCACACAAGTGCTTATTTCGCTCCCTTTTTTTTTTTTTTTTTACCTTTCTCAGGATTACTTTCTCAGGGATGACTCAGTTAGGTGCCATTGCAGCTTTGGCTGCTAGCCTAGTGGCAGCTGCTCTTTTTTCTGCAATACACAAGATTGAAGAAGGGCATATTGGTGTTTACTACAGGTAAGGGCAGATGCTTGGAAGGAGCTGTGTTTTTTGTTTTTTTTTTGTACTGTTGCGTGTGTGCTAAGAAATATGCATTGCGAGATTGAATAAATGCCAAATGTGGATATTTTTTTCCCTTCTCTTTCAATCTGATGCTGTGCATGACTTTCGTTAGGAGAGCGTTCTTTAAGTTGAATGTCACAGCTGCAAAAATTTGCTTCTCCTAGACCAGGGGTGTCAAACTGCCGGCGCGCGGGCTGGTTGCATCATGCGGAGGCCGCACCTACCCCTGCTCCAGCAATGCAAAAACAAAGTTGCGACACATCATGTGATGCAGCAAGTTTGACACCCGTGTCCCAGACCATTTGAGGACTGTGCAGTGCATCTCATTCTGAATATGCTTACTGAGATTTGCCTGTACATGTTTCCAAATAGCAGCAGCAGAGTGGTTAGCTTGGGACACTTGTGGTCTTTTGCTACTGGAGAAAATAACTTGAGTAGTTAGATTGAAAAGTCTGGCTCTGATTGTGAGGTTGTTGCAAGCTCAGCGTAATTGCCTTTGTGCTGAGCTGTGCAGAGATCTTCAGTGTTGTAGGATGCCATATAAATGTTGTAAATAAAGTTTTGATAAAAGGATGCAGGCAAAATGTGATGGTGAGGAAGCAAGCTTTGAGTTTGTTAATGCACTACCTAATCTGGAACTGGTTGTTGAGGGTGTCAAAAAGCTGAAATTCTGGTCAAAGAACCAGAACACTGATTTAAATATATGTCTTTCTCCCCGACAGAGGAGGAGCACTCCTGACATCTACAAGTGGACCTGGTTTCCATCTAATGCTCCCCTTCATAACTTCCTATAAATCAGTACAGGTATCTTGCCTTTATATATAATTATCTTATGGGGGAGAAGCACACAGATCTCTTATTAGTTGTGCCAGAGCAGTTTTGAATGCTCCCTTAAAATAGACATTTCTTGGTAGATTCTAATCCCGACAATATGAGGTGTCACTTCAGTCCAATGTATATTTTACTTAGCTCAATATTCACAGTTGTTTGTATTTTGTTGGGGCGAAGCAAATCAACTCCTAACTGATTGGAAAATTTAAATACGTGATTCAATATGTTGTTACTAAAGTATAGAGATCTAGAAAGAAACTCAAATTCGGTATCATCCAGAGATTATCAAGAGATTGAAGCCAGATTTACATTTATACCTTGTAATTGCCACATGGAAGCTGCTCCTAACTGCATCTTTTGTTAATTAATATGTAACCCTCTAATGCTCTTTGTGTATCATGGGTGCAAGCTTCAGGAACTGTTCTGTAGTAACTGTTGTGAAAGGAGGAAGGAAAGAAGCTTGCCACACCCCATGGTTCAGAGTCCAGGTTTTCTGTTAAAGGTTGTTTGAGTAAGGAAAAGAATGTGGGAAATGCTTGAGGGGGTTAAAAGTAGAATAAAAATGGAATGTGGCATGAAGAGAAATTGTGTCCATGCTTAAATTTGTAATGTAACCTTTCATTCTTGGATCTCAATTCCCCATTCGTGATAATCATAGCTTAGTCTGAAACTGGCTGATCCTAGCTTGTCTTCAGAGGAAAATTAGAATACTTACAGTTTTGATTTCCAGTTGCTTTCCATGACCAGGAATTCTGGTTTGCAGTAACCATCATTCATTAGTGTAGCAAGCTATAAACTCCACATTTATTTATTAATCAAACTTATATAGCCATCCATCTCAAATGGTTTACAATAATAATACATAATCCATATAAATCAGACAAGATGTATGCGAGCTTGTGACACAAACATTATTTATTATTCCAATTTGTTTAATTCTTATGTCACTCCAGTAGAAAAGCTGGTTTCATGTGTGTGGGACACTGCCATTTGGCAATAAAGTTTATTTATTTTTCTTTCCTATTATCTACTTCCCAGACTGACTTAGATCTTAACTGACCTTTATTATTTTATTGTCCCATAATATGTTTGTTTTTTTTCTGCTATGTTTTATTAAGCCTTTCAGTGGTGTGCTGGGTTGTTAAAGGGAATTTTACCTCTGAATTTTGTAATGAGCCTATGCAGATCTGCAAATGAAGTTGTTCTTTGCATGGGGCTCCTTCACATTTTTTCCTTTTTTCTTATCTGAATGGGCCTTAAACCTGTTTTCAAACAAGACCTTCCACTTTTTCACAATAGGGGAAAGAGATTATCTTCAAGACCTGCTCAATCAGCACTTGAATATATTTGTCTTGAACTAGTGTTAAGCAACTTTTGGAATGGCCAGTCTGTTTCTGGCTCAGATAACTTGCAGAGAAGATGGGGCTAAGATAGTCAGGTAGAGCTAGATGCATTTACCTGAGGTGAGCCAAAGAGACTGACCAATGCTATACAAACCCTGTGCAAAGATGGGTAGCCCCAGGGCCACTTTTTGCAGCCCATGGAGCTCTGCACTGCCCAATATTATTCTTCTGCTCCACTGGGACAAGAAACATAATTTGGCACCGGTAAATAATAAATTGTAGCACAACAATTTAAACATCTTCCTCCAAGTCAGGGAGAAAAATAAAAAGATGAATCTCTTCACAGTTGTGACCTCCTTGATGCCACATTACCTGGTTTCCTGCTGCTGTTTATCCCCTCTGAAAGGTTATGGGACTGTCAGTTGCCAAATTTGGCCCATCCCCATTCCAGAAAAAAGGGGGTTTTTTTCTTGTCGCAGAAGTTGCTTAATAATCATCTTTCTTTCTGCTTTCTAGACCACCTTACAAACAGATGAAGTAAAGAATGTTCCATGTGGCACAAGGTGAGGTTGGACACACACACACACCCATCGGTGAATCTGCCATCTCTTTGCTTTTATCTTCTCCACAGTTGCAGGGAGGCTTTAACCTACATAAATCTGGATATTTTTTTTGTAACTTGGATTAGTGCTTCCCTCTTGGAAAATGTGGTGCTGTTATTTTTGCTGGTTTCAGATAAGATGATGCAAATGGGAAACGGAATCATCTTGCATCTATGATCCTGTATTCGGCTTTCTATGGACCTACCAGTTTGGTCTAGGGCAAGGGTAGGCAACCTTGGCTCTTTTATGACTCGTGGACTTCAACTCCCAGAATTCCTGAGCCAGCCATGCTGAGGGGAAAGGGAGAGGTTTCCAAGCTGAGCCATGCTGGCTCAGGAATTCTGGGAGTTGAAGTCCACGAGTCATAAAAGAGCCAAAGTTGCCTACCGCTGGTCTAGGGATCAAGACACGAGGCTAAAAACCAGGTCCTGCCTTAGACACGAAAACCAGCTTGGTGACTTTGGGCCAGTCAATCTCTCTCAGCCCCATTCACCTCACAAGATTGTTGTTGTTGTGGAGAAAATAGGAAGAGGAAGGAGTAGCTATGTTCGCTGCCTTGAGTTATTTATAAAAATAATAAAGGCAAGATAGGGCTAGAAGGTCAGAGATGGAACTACGCCTAGGGCTCTGTATTTAAAGATGGCTCAGCTAAAGTTGGTTTCTCGGTCTTGAAACCTGGAACTAGGATGTTTGGCATTCAAAGCTGCAATTATTTCACTGGGGGAAAAAACAACCCCAAGTTATGTAGCTTGACTAATTAATGTAATCATGTCTTACATTTCTCTTTTCGATGGAGGAGAATATTAGTAGCTCAGGGTTGAAATGAGGGATCCTCGGTTCTTTCTGAGCTTGCTTTCTTTCTTGCAGATGTTTCACTACCCCAATTTGGTGACATTGTGAAACCTCTGCAAGAAAACAACCGAGTTCAGAGAGCATCAATTTCAGTTCCAGTTTCACCCCTTATTTATATCTTTCCCCATTTATGGAGCCCATGTGGGGAAAATGCAGACTCTTCCCTTTTTTCCAATCCTGATGTTGTAAGTCTTTAAGCAGAATTCTAATTGCAGGCATCTTATTTCAGTGCAATTTTTTAAATTATTATTATTATGGTTTGTCACACAGCCAGAGGTTCAGACTGGATTTGGCATTTTTATCCACCTGTCGAGTCCTTCCCAAGGACCTGGGATAGGCAGCTGTTGTCACTTGATGGTGTTAAAGATACTGTCACGGGATATTAGGCTGTTCCAAGCAAAGCTGCCTTTTGCCATTTTGAGGGTGAATTTGTCACTGCCAGTGGTGTTCAAGCGGTGCTCCAATTGTTTTGGGATTGCACCCAAGGCACTATTACTATTGGTAGTAAATAAAGTAGTTCTTTATTTTTCCCATGCACACAAGAGGCCCGGTTTCATTCTATCAGTACGAAGAATGCTCTTCTTCTGCCACAAGATGGCAATTTTCCCTTTTACTTATCCACAGGAAAGCCTCTTGCAGTGCCCTTAATGTGCATCAATCAATCTAGAATTGCTACCCTTTTTAACAAAAGCACCACTGCAGGTGTTTGGGGGCAGGTAGAGTTCAGTTTCTGAGCTACCTCTTGACACCTTATTCTTTCAATCAGGAGTCTGGTAGCACCTTTTCCCAACTAATACATTTTATTAAAAGGTGTCAGCTTACGTGAGAAAAACCTAACGCCTTCTAATAGAAAGTGTTAGTCAGAAAAGGTGTTACCAAACTCCTGGTTTGTTTGTTTGTTTGCCAAGAGAGATTAGCACAGCTCTCCACATCTTCCCTTCCAAGTGACCCATCCCAGCAGGTGCTCACCTCTCTCTCCCATTTGATTTTTCTTTTTATTTTCTTTTGCAGTGGAGGAGTGATGATTTATTTTGACAGGATTGAGGTTGTGAACTTCCTGATCCAAAGTGCGGGTAAGTTATCACTGCCAACCTCTTTCTCCTCAGAGCTGGATTTGGGATCCCAGGTATTATGAGAACTGGCTGCACCCATTGTGCTGGAAGAAAGATAAATCATATGATCATTTCATACCAAGGAAATAAAATTAGGGGTTTGTTTTTTTTAATTACCCAATTCCCAGGGTTCCTGGACAACAATACTGAGTTTTTTCCTGTTCCCAAACCGTGGCTGTAGTGATAACAAATGAGATGCCATTTCTTGCCTGCACAATTTTTTTAACACCCCCTTTCCTCTCTCCTTAGTCTACGATATAGTGAAGAACTATACTGCAGATTATGATAAGGCTCTCATCTTCAACAAGATCCACCATGAGCTGAACCAGTTTTGCAGTGTTCACACACTTCAGGAAGTTTATATTGAATTGTTTGGTGAGTGTCTTCACCAGGACGTGCACAATACTTGAATTAAAATATCTGAAGAGAACTGTTGGGTTACAATGTCTCTAGAATGGGAGGAATTTAAGGGTTAGGTTTGTGAATTTCATTAAGCTGTCTTCCTTTCTCTTTCCCATAATTTGAGAGCAATTACATATTTGTTAAATCACTGAATCCACCGCAATAGATTTTACTTTCCTAACATCAATGGCAGCATTGAAAAACCCGAAAGACCAGGTATGGGGCAGAGAAAATCTATGTGGGTGCTAAGAGCAGAGACCGATTTGATGACACAAAATCTATCAGTCAAGAAATTAATGGTGCTTTTAGCCAGTCTCAGTGGAAGTAATTAAATGTTGCAATGTGCGATCCATCATTTCATTTGAACCCAGAACTAGCGCATAATAGTACATTACATATTCTTCACTAATCTACCCTCATCTTGTTTCAGAAAACAAATCAGTCAATTGAAAACAAACAGTGGTTTTGTACTTTAGTGTTTTATAATCACTAAATTTTGGCAGGTCTAGTTGATGAGGCAGGAGTGAAAATTGGCACCATTTCCTTAACGTTACCTCCACAACTATTTAGCAGTAAAGGAATATTGGAAAGTGTATCGATTATATGAATGTTTGGTCAAAGATTATAATCTCCTTACTTCTTGGTGGCCCTGATATCCTTAAAATATTGCTGAATTATAAGTCCCAGTATTCCTCACCATTCACGCTCATGGCTAACATTGCTGGAAGTTCAGCAAATTTTGAAAATCCGTACATTTTGTATCTGTGATCTTTGACATAAAAGGGGTTGGGATTGAAAGTGAGGCCTTCTTCTAAAGCAGCCACTGTCTCAATAACCCAGGGGTCTTCAAACTTGGCCCTTTTATGACTTGTGGACTTCAACTCCCAGAATTCCTCAGCCAGGCACGTTGGCTGAGGAATTCTGGGAGTTGAAGTCCGCAAGTCATAAAAGAGCCAAGTTTGAAGACCCCTGCAATAACCTATAATTTCTTCCAGGGAATAAGTGCCTTGTCATCCATGTGTCCTATTCTCTCCTGTTTTTAACATGATGGCAGCAATATTGCCTTTGTTGTAAATGGGTGAGCATGTGCAACTGCTTTCCTACTCTTCATTCCTTCTGTTTGCACATGCAGGTATATCGGCAAAGAACCAACAGGGCTAATGGGCTTGTTCCCAATTTCTTGTTTCATGCTCTGTTTGCTTTATCCCTTCCTAGATCAGATTGATGAAAACCTAAAACTGGCTCTCCAACAAGATCTGACATCTATGGCTCCAGGACTCATCATACAGGTAACAAAAAACGCTGGAGTTTATCCCAAGGACAACATTTTTGCGCAAAACTGGATAAAGTTCTCAAACATTTTGGTTTCAGGACCCCTTCAGATTCCTAAAAATGACTGAGGACCCCAAAGAGCTTTGGTTAATGCGGGATAGACCTAGCAATATTTAGTTATTAAAATGGAGAAAAATTAAAATATTTATTATTCAGTTGACTTCATGGACTCCCTGAAAGAGAGTTTGAGAATCGCTGGGATAGAGGACAGAATTGCAAACTAAGCTTGATGTTGTCCCTTTTGAAGTTCAGAGATTCTACCAAATCTTGGTTCTAGATTGGTTCTGGATTGTAATCTTTTCTCCCAAGGGAAGCGTCTCAAGTTCCAGGTCTAGGCAACTTCCACGCTTAATTTTATCTGTCTGAATAGATCATAAGTTTGGTATTCATCTAAACAAGGAGTTATTGAAAGCTCTTATGAACTCTGCCCAGCTTGATAGCTGGTGTTTCCTTTCCTGCTTCAATCACACTAGTTTCCTGTTCACAGATTCAGGATGCCATCCCTCTTCCCTTTTGAACAACCTGTTGTGTGGTTCTTAATACTGTCATTTTGAGAGTCTTTCCTCATAATCCTCACTTTTTCTGTTCAATCAGGCAGTCCGAGTTACAAAGCCAAACATCCCAGAAGCAATTCGGAGAAATTATGAGCTCATGTAAGTTTCTGGAATTCTCTTCTTTAGAGTGGCTGCATGTGTGCGTGCATTGCACACACCCTACAGGACTATAGAGTTACAGTCAAATGACACACGGAAAAACACACACTTCTCAGGCTGTTTTATGTACTGCGTGTGTTAAGGCCGGGGTCCTCAACCTCGGTCCATGGATCAGCACCGGGCCGTGCAAACAAGTGAAGCCCCACCCACGGGATGCAGGCAGCATGCGAAACCACGCCCCCTCCAGTCCGTGGAAAAACCTCTCTCCACGGCACCAGTCCCTGGTACCCAAAAGGTTGGGGGCCGCTGTGTTAAGGGCCCCGTTTGCTGGCTGTATTGCTAACTAGCCAAGTATCTTGCCCGTATGCCTATTTAGTGTTTTAAAATGTTTTTAGTATTTTAATTGTAATATATTTTTTTAATTGTAAGCCACCCAGACTCATTGACTGAGATGGTCTACTATAGAAATTGAATGAATGAATGAATGAATGAATGAATGAATGAATGAATGAATGAATGAATGAATGTTCAGTGTGAGCCATCTGTAGAATCTCTGGTGCTCATTATTTGTGCGTATACGTATGTATTCTAATCCATTCAGTAACTTGAAAGTGCCATTTGTTGTGGAAGTCATTTTAATCCTTTAGCTAAAGCCTGTCTTGGTCCCCTCTCTAGGGAGAGTGAAAAGACAAAACTGTTGATTGCAGCCCAGAAGCAGAAAGTTGTGGAGAAAGAGGCTGAAACAGAACGCAAAAAGGCTCTCATTGGTTGGTGTGCAGTTCTTGCTATCATGTCTGACTATTCTTGTAGAATTATGCAGAACATAAAGAGGTGGTATTGCCTGTTTTGTCTGTCTGGACTGCATTTTCCAAAAGAGTAAAGAGGGAGGTCAAAATCAGAGGTTAAGAAGTATTGTTGTTGCTAGTTGCGAAATCGTGTCCGACCCATCGCAACCCCATGGACAACATTCCTCCAGGCCTTTCTGTCCTCTACCATCTTCTGGAGTCCATTTAAGCTCAGGCCTACTGCTTCAGTGACTCCATCCAGCCACCTCATTCTCTGTCGTCCCCTTCTTCTCTTGCCCTCAATCTTTCCCAGCATTAGGCTCTTCTCCAGTGAGTCTTTCCTTCTCATTAGGTGGCCAAAGTACTTGAGTTTCAACTTCAGGATCTGGCCTTCTAAAGAGCAGTCGGGGTTGATCTCTTCTAGGACTGACCGGTTTGATCGCCTTGCAGTCCAGGGGACTCGAAGGAGTCTTCTCCAGCACCAGAGTTCAAAGGCCTCAATTCTTTGGCGCTCAGCCTTTCTTATGGTCCAACTTTCACAGCCATACATTGCAACTGGGAAAACCATGGCCTTGACTATACGTACTTTTGCTGGCAGGATGATGTCTCTGCTTTTCAGTATGCTATCTACATTGTGCATATAATAAATAAGGGAATATTATTCCCACTGAATCTAATCCAAACTGGATATGAGCTCAAAATAATTTTAGATTGCAGGCTGTGAATTCTCTGAGAATAAAAATACTCAGGTAGTTTGTGAAATGACGGGGGACAAACGTAACTTCCTCTAGGGTAGTTAATCTTCATCAGAGATCAGCAGAGAAATCCTAATTTAAAATATGAAAAAAAAACCTTGCCAAAAAGAAGAGAGAAAAAAAACTCCTGAAAAGCTTTACAAGTCATCATTTCTAAGAAGCCTTTGGGGGAAAACACCCATACAATGAATGCAGCGTCTCTGCTCCGGGAAATTCTAGTTTCATTGACCATCATTGCTGCCTCCTATAATAATTGGGAGTGTTTTCTCTCCTGTGCAGAGGCAGAAAAAATTGCGCAGGTGGCTGAGATAACGTATGGGCAGAAGGTAATGGAAAAAGAAACAGAGAAGAGAATATCTGAGATTGAAGGTAAGCAGCCGTGTTTTAGAAGTGTCCGTCCTGTCTGATTATTTTAACTCACCAATAATGTTCCCTGTTTGAAGATGACTAGAAATCTAGGAAGGAGATGAATGCAGTTTCCAGATAGAACAAGCAAATTCCCAAAAAAATCTTGATGATATTAATGGAGATGATCCTGTTTGGGGTGAATCGGTAGCGTCTGTGGTGAAAATCTGAAGTAGCAGCATCTTGTGACTTGCTTCTGTTTAATCACATTCTTCTGTCTTCAGCTGTAGGAGCCTCTCCCCGTTTCACTGGCTTTGGAAGAATCTTTTCCTTGCTTTTTCCAGTTTTTATTAAGCCATAAGGAGGTAAATCATAGAATCATGGAGTGGGAAGGACAGTATTTAGACTATTGAATTCTAACCGCTGCTTAGTGCAGAAATCCAAATGAAAGCATCGGTTATAATTCAGCTTCTCTTAAAAACTTCCAGCAAAGGCTACTCATCACTTCTAAATCCTCCTTCTTGAACTGCTATTTAAACAAAGAAACAGAAAACTAGCTGTTACCACTGCTTGTTACCAATGGAAGTTTCTCCTAACTTCCATTGAAGGCTGTGCAGTAGGCAGATTTGAGCAACAAATCGCATTGCGTTTGTGTCGGAGGCACTGGGGCGCTTCCAGGTTGAAAGGATGAGCCGGTGACATCACTGTTTGCCCGGGGGATGCCCAGTTGAGGGCTCCTTTCATGTCCCTGTTAATGTGCCCAACCGAAGTGATACCTATTTATCTACTTGTGAATGCACATTTTTGAACTGTTAAGGTCGGCAGGAGCTGGAGGGAATGATGGGAACTCACCCCATCCCGTGTTAGCATTTAGATCTCGAATGTGGACTTGCTGCTTGTCAACCCAGCGTCCTATCCGTGCCCCAAATGAGGCAGAATGAATTGGCTACCCCTCCTTTTTCCAACAATTTCTCTTCACTTCCCCAACCTGCAGGCCTTAAAAAAAAACAACCCAATCCTGCCTATCCCCCTTGTGCACAGGCTTTGAAATTAGCTTGAAGTTCTAGGAGATTGGCATCTGGATCACAAGTTGCCCAGGTGACATCTCCACCAACTGGCCCTGGCTCCTTAATAAGAGCTTAAAACCCGGGTTTTTCTCTGCATCACAAGCCAGGATTGAACCTGGGCACTTTGCCTATAAAGCATGTGTTGTGCCACCGAGCCAAAGGCTTCAAGCTGGGCTTGTAAGAAGGAGATGCTGACGTGAGGATTGCCCGTTCGTTGATCCTTTTTGGGAATAAGCTGCTGGAGCAGGGAAAAAGCTCCTCTAGGCCGCCTCTAAGCACCAGTTTGCTAAGCTAGGTTCATTAAGAAGCTTGTCAAGCAATGCAGCATGTCCCCAAGGAGCTAATTAGTGTCTTACAGATCCGCAGCTCCTCATTAGGCAGGTCCTGGCAGAGGGCTAATAGCTTGCTTTTACATCTAGACGTGTTGCTGAGTGCCAGGCCTTTGAAACGTTCCAGCTGTATCCTAAGCGATTGAAGGAGAGAAGATAGAACATCCAGCTGTATCCTAAGTAGCAAACTTGGGGCTTTGTTGAGACTCATGTAACTGCTCTGGCAATTGGATACTTTACTGCAGGGGTCTCCAAACCTGGCCCTTTTATGACTTGTGGACTTCAACTCCCAGAATTCCTCAGCCAGGCACACGTGCCTGGCTGAGGAATTCTGGGAGTTGAAGTCCACAAGTCATAAAAGGGCCAGGTTTGGAGACCCCTGCTTTACTGTATACCCCTTGAATTGCACACCCTTCGGGCTGTTGGGATTGGTGCGTTGGTATATGAACAGAAATGGATGTGTGGGTGGATGGGTGTCAAGACAGCAGGAGTACGGACTTCCCCATTGACTTGGCTTGTCAGGAAGGCACAAAAGATGATCATATGACCCCGGGACATTGCCGCCGTCACAAATACGAGCCAATTGCCAAGCATCTGAATTTTGATCGTGAGGATGCCGCAAAGGTCGTAAGTGTGAAAAAGTCACCAGTCCCTTTTTTCAGGACCAGTGTTAACTTCGAACAGTCACTAAAACAAGTGGTTGTGAGTCGAGCATTACCTGTATTGCTTCTGTATAGTAAAGCTTGACTTACGAACTTTTTACACGGTCACATGACGGCTTGGTCATTGTCTGCCGGGGTCACGGGATCCCCTTTTGCAACCTGACAAGCAAAGTCGGTGGGGAAGCCAGAATCATTTAACAACCATGTTCCTAACTTAACAGCTGCAGTGATTCACTTAACAGCTGTGGCAGGAAAAATTGGTAAAAATGGGGCAAAACTCACTTAACAAATGTCTCACTTACCAACAGAAATTGTCATATTTAGTGGTTACTTTCTAAACTTGGAAAGTCTTTCTCTTTAGAATAATAGCTTTGCAAACTATCAAAGCGCTGCAACTCTTTTTATTGGTTTGTTTTCCTGGGGGGTGGAAGGTTATGCAACAGATTATGCTTGGCGCTGAACAAAAACATTTCAGTGGAAGTAGGAAGCGGAGGGTGACGTGGGCTGTCAGCGTAGGCAGAATCAGAATTCTTTGTACTTTTCCATCAGTGCTGTCGTTCAGCCGTGTGCTTTATAGGGAATTGAAGTCTCATCTCCCAGATCTAATTCCAGCTATCTCTACCTCACTGACTCTTGTGTGTGTGTGTTGGGGGGGGGGAGGGAGTTGGACCTTTTGCTCAGAAACTAGAAACAGTCTAAATTATATCTGTTCCACTTGATTCAGAAAAGCATCTGATTTACCTGTAGGTTTCACACAGAAAAGTTTTGAGTTTTTAACCGGAACCTAACCGCATTGTTAGATCTTGGCCGTGCCAGGGTGATCCCGCCTTCTCACTTTGCCTAACCTGGTGCCCTTCACACTACTGGCTGTGGTGATGTCCGGAATGCCTGCAGGATATCATGTTAAGGAAAACTGCTCTGCTCTGCTCCATTTTCCTCCTCCAGATTGTCCTCTTGACGGTTGGCTGTAAGCTTTTGGTTCGTGTTGTTCTGAGCAAGATTGTGCTAAAGAGAACGAATGACTCCAAATGGAAACTGTGGAGCTACTTGACCAATTCTGAAGATGGAAATCAGCCTTTCTTCTTCTAGAAAATGCCTCCTCCTCCTTTAATTTTAATTTTCACAATTTCAGGGTCTCTTGAGACTTCTCCGTGTTTGGAACTCTTATTCACCCACCTCCCTGCTTTTTGCAGATGCCGCATTCCTCGCCAGAGAAAAAGCGAAAGCGGATGCTGAATGTTACACAGCCCTGAAGATCGCCGAAGCCAACAAGGTGAGAGATTCAGCCGTGCTTCAGTGGCCTGGAGCTCAGTTTATTGATGCTGCAACTGCAGAAGCTTTAAAGTTGATTTGATCTTTAGTCTCACTGCACTGCAGTGCCCTTGGCTGGGCGCCTCCATCCTCAGGTTGTTGATGGAATCTGTATGACTCCAAAAACCTTATTGATTTAAAAAGTTGTTCCTGATTACTTGGTAACCATTGACTTTTCTAGTTACTTATTGATGGACCAGTTTGTGGCCGGCAAACCATGCTAGGCTTTCCTTTTCCTCCTGGACACAGAAGTAGATGTTTCTCTCACATAATCCCAACATCATACTTATAGCCGCAGCACTGAGATATTATAAGATACATACGATATTTACACAACGTGCTAAGTCCCAAAGGTAGATTAATAGCTATGTTTCCCCCATGTAAAGATATTGTGCTTGTTTGTTTATTTGTGTCGGAAGCATCACAGTCAAAATAAGACACACTATATGACATAACATTTTAAATATATACAAATTAAACAGATCTTGCCCAGAAACTAGCAACATTAATTGCGCTCTGTCACGCTGCCATGAGGTCCTCAAGTGTACAATGATCAGGACACAAAGGGCAGGGTTTTGGGCCGACAGGGTGCACCAAACTCAAGATAATTCTTCTCCCCTGTCTCATAGCTGACAAAGTGAGAAAGAACCTGTGGCCTAGAGGTTAATACATCTGCCTAACATGCAGACAGCCCAGGTTCGAATCTCAGAAGGGTATGTCTGGTTGAAAAGAACTAAAAAGTTCCCATTTGTTCAGAGTGTTTCTGGATATTGTGCTATATTCAAACAAATAAACTACGGCTTAATACAGTAGCCTAATTATACAACACAGCAAGGCAGTGGCTGAATCAACTAACCAGCCACCTTTTAGCACATTTGTGTGGGGGGTGTGTGTGTCTGTTTTTGTGTTTTTGAAGTATTATAAGCCACACTATTGATAATTGAATCCAAAGACTGAGCAGAAGTCTTGAAAGCTCTTTTTCATAACTGGACTGTGGGTGTCCTCTCTTTCTCTCTCCTTGCAGCTAAAACTGACTCCGGAATACTTGCAATTAATGAAATACAAAGCGATTGCCTCCAATAGCAAAATCTACTTTGGCAAAGATATACCCAACATGTTTATGGACCACGGTGCGACTCCCACTAAGTTTTCTGAAGGACAGGCAGAGGAGCTAAAAGTTGAAAATTGGCTGGAAACAGGGGAAGATTTGTGAAGTCGGGAACAGACAGAAGGGCAGCACAACCCCTGTCTGAAGCCATCCAAACTGGCGTTTGGCTATTTGATGTGCGGTCTCTACCTTCCAGGGAGTGGGGAACCATTGAGCCCATTGGGCTAGAAAGAAAAAAACACCCTTTCTGTTCTGAAAAGACAGTCTGAAGAAGCACTGCAACTCAGACTCCTGACTTCATCTTTCTTAGCGGTCAAGATACACTGCCTTATTGATCTTTGTGCCGATGGAGAGAGCAACAGTGAATCATGCTAAAAGAAGAGGCGGGGTCCCCATGATTGACTCTGCCTCCACTTCAATTAGATAAAGCATGCTCAGATTTATTTTTGGAGCAAGAGAAACCTTTTCATGTGAGAAACTCAACTATCCTCTTATACTTGTACATATACTATAGGTCCGCCCCATAGGAAAAAAAAAAAAAAAACATTTGGAGAATTGAAAAAAGGACTCGCTCTTTCTTTTGGTGTTGGAAAATTAGTCTTGATATAGCCCAAACTGATTCCTTCTAGAAGTCTTGGAACTGCCAACTCCCCAGAATGTAAGTTGTTGGGGAAGTTGACCGGGAAGCCCATGAGTTACAGTCCCAACTCTTCTGAAGGGCATACGGTTCAGTAGGCTAATATTTTTGGGGACAATATGTGGATGAGCAGATCATCTCTGCATGTTGAATTATTTGCATTCACGAGCGTAGTCTCCAGTCATTGGATTTCACCAGTAGTCAGTGGCAGCCTATTCCTTCAAAAATAAAGGTGCTAATTTTGATTTTTTTAAAACAAAAAAAAAAACAACACTACAGATTAAAAGCCTTGGCATGGAAACTTGGAGCATTAAACATTAACTAAAGATCTGTCGATTGGTGCTTATTTCAAGATCCGCAAAGCACATCTAGATCCAAGGTCCACCTTTCCACCTTGTAGAAATTGGTTGGGACAGTCCTAGGACAAATGTCAGGTGAGATGTTTCTTTTGCCCTTACATTAAAGGCAACTTTTCCTGGAGAAGGGCTTGTCATCCATCTGGAAGTTTCTTCTATAATAACATGCAATTCATAGAGGGAATCGGTAGAGAAACATAATGTGATTCTGGTTTTCAGCAGACGGTCTGGAATGGACCCGGGTAACTACTGATTCAATGATCTTAACACAATCTACTAGCCATACCATTGTGGTTCACCGGGTAATTGGCAGCCCCTTTGCAGAACCCAGATCAGATTGATCAAGTCTCATCAGATAGGGATGCATTCTGGCTTGACTAGTCTCCAATTGTGCAGCATCGGGGTCTCTCCTGTTCTACTGCTTTATGGATAAAATGCACACATCCAGCATTGCTATATTCTAGAACAGTGTTTCTCAACCTTGACAATTTTAAGGCATGTGGACTTCAACTCCCAGAATTCCACAGCCAGCAATGCTGGCTGTGGAATTCTGGGAGTTGAAGTCCACATGCCTTAAAATTGTCAAGGTTGAGAAACACTGTTCTAGAAGGCTGCCCTTTGAAGTGATCCACAAGTAGGTGAAATAGTTTGGGAACCGATTCTTAACACTTTTTTTTTTCCCCTGGGGCCAATCCAGCAAGCAGTAATTCAAAATACCCAGTTGCATCTGAATCCTTCCTTCAGCAGCCAGTGATGTCTCAGATGGTGCCCTTATTCCATTAGGTGTGTATATTTCCATTAAGAATGGGGTTTGGGGGTTGCATGTGTTCCTAGAAATGGCTTGCTCCAAAAAACAGATTGAGAGAACTTTCTGGAAACAGAAGGACTTTTTCATTCTTCTTGTTGGCCTGTGCTAAATATTTATCTTGCATGGGCTAGTGTTTCTCAGTCTTACCAACTAAGATGTGTGGACTTCAACTCCCTGAATCCCCAGCCAACCATGATGGCTGGTTGGGGAATTCTGGGAGTTGAAGCCTACATGTCTTAAAAGTTGTAAAAGTTGAGACAAAGTGATATAAACTAATAGGGCATCCTGCCAAAATATTCTGCTCTAACCCCAAGGTATTTGGGGTAAGAACCCTTCTAGGCCTGAAATCCTATTTGTCATCCAAACAGTCTGTAACAAAGGCTTTTTTTTTTTGCTCCTTGTAGTAGGGGAACCATTAAAAAAAAATCACTGATCAACATTTGCTGATTGAATAGCTGGTGTACCAGTAGCATACATTTTCCTTCTTTTAAGCTGTAGCAAGTAGGGCTATAATATCTTGAAACTGGCAGAACCCCAGACCTCTTAAGTGATGATATTCAAAAGACTTTTGTCATCTAAGTATAATCAGTGCCTCCCACTATAAGGTCAGTGCCCAGTTGCCACAAGGCTTGAATAAGCCCTCTTGCTAAATCATCTTTTGTGTCTGTTCCATAATGTGTTAGGAATGCAAGCTTTCCTAGGTCCTTTTTAAAGTATGCTTTGCCTATGCTGGACAAAGACCAAGTAAAAAAAAACAACTTTATGATTGCTTCTTGTTCTCTTTCCTTTTCTATTCCCCCCCCCCCAAACAACCTGGTCAATTTTCAGTTGTCATCATGCACCTTTCTCGGAATATGCTAGTGAAAAATCCCTCTTGTTCTGTCCCTCGGTTCCATCACCTAATTGAGAGGGTGACCTTTATGGCATGCTGGTTTTGTATCTCCCCGGGAAATTTTTTTGTCAGTCTGATTATAGTCCTTGGTTCTTGAAGTATGACTTTGGGAGAGGGGTGTTTCCACATTAACATTTCTTTTTTTTTTCTCAACGTGCAAGCGAGATTGAGGCGAGCCTCTTTATAAAACGGGGACCGCTATTTAGAATCCATGGCCTGCAAACTAAAGGCGTCTCGGGCGCTTCGCCACATGTGCCTTAAATTTCAAATGTGCTTTTCCTTAGCCCAGGGCTGTCCAGCCTTGGCAACTTTTAAGACCTGTGGACTTCAGCTCCCAGAATCCCTCAGCCAGCCACCCTGGCTGGGGTTTCTGGGAGTTGGAAGTCCACAAGTCTTAACGTTGCCAAGGTTGGACACCCCTGCCTTAGCGTATTTCTCCACCTGCAGTTGCTTTTTACCACATTGTGTAAAGCTGAGCTAATGTAACATTCAGATTTCTTCTGGAGCGAAGGAAGCTGTATGGAGAACATCTGCCTGTTCCACTAAAACTGGAAAAAAAAGAATCTTAGTAGCCAGCATGACGGTGCTAAGATACCCTTAATTATGAATCTAAGGAAACTGCTTTATCCTATGAATAACCTTTGCTGTTATATGAGTTTTTATGGAGGCGATAAGACTTATATTTGGGTTGTGTTATACTTCAAATTGCCAGCACTAGGGAGGTCACACAATTGGCCAGGTCAATTAAATATAACAATACCTTGCGTGTGTATCTGATTGGTTGGTATTCTTGAGATACTAGCTTTCTGGGGAATACATTTTTAATACAGCAGCATTCAATCATGTGAACCCTCACCCTTCAATTGACAGGGGGATAGCTGAGACACCGGTGTCCCGTTTTGTGTTAGAATTGGGCCTTTACTGTGCAGCTGAATTAAATAGTGCTTATGTACAATACAATATAGACTGTAGGGAAAGCAGAGCAAAAGCATGAAGTGTACTTCTCTTTGTGTGACTTTTTTTGTTGTGCACGAATAAAGGCTTGCAAGAGTTATGTGTCCTTACCCCCAAATTCATGGGGAGAAACCCATTAAATGTGCCACAGGCTTTCTCACAGTGCATTGTTCTGAATTGGGGCTGCTTGTTGAAGCCCCTAGAACTGCAATAACATCAGGAGTGTAGTTTTTGTTTTTTTTTACCATTCTGATTTAAAGACCATCTCGGACCTTATAAAGTAACTTGGTATTCTTCCATGTCTGGTAAATGCAAATCATAAAGCATTAGGTCCTTTTAACATGTGGCTTTGTAATGTATTCCTCTATCCTTCAAAAAAAGCGTTTCTCACTAGGACGAAACAAAAGAAGGAATTATTTTTGTTAAGGGTGAACCCAATCTGAGGCTATATCAAATTAATTCTGAAAATATTGGGACCTTAAGGTGCCCAAGCCAAAGTTTTGACACTGAAATGTGCAGTACAAGATTACATTTCCTCATTCTCCAGGTGTTAGGAAACAGAGGTGCGACACATCTGGAGGTCACGGAAGGTGTATACCACAGGGAATTTGACTGGGCTGGAGGAGGTATATTAGAAAAAGTATTTCTCTTCATAGATGTGCTTCTATTTATCATACACTGCCCGGTGTTCATCCTCAGTTACCATCTGACCTTCCAACAGCAGCTGCAAAAGATTGATGTAGCTCCTATAGGACAATTAATTGGCAGCAAAAGTATTCAGATTCTGTTTGTATCAAAAAATACTGTAGTCAAAATCATGCTGATATTTAAATCCGTACTTCTGGCTTCAGCCATGTTCTCGTTGAATTGTTTAAGCTTGTTTGTTTTCATGTGGACTTCACAGGTTTTTCCTTGTCAATTGAAAGTACAGAAAGCTAGAAACTAATAGTTCAGAAATGGTACGGTAAAATAGCTTCGGCACTAAAATGGGTCTGTAACGATTTGTCCTAATTTCTGAATTGTACAGTTGGATTTCATTGCCTGAGTTATGTCCGATCTTCCAATAGAAAGGTACTATTTTTCGAGCTTTCTTCCTATTAAAGTTTGCAGACTCAATAATGCGATTATGTGAAATCGCATTCACATAAGATTTACAGGAGCAGTGGCATTTGATTTTTTTCTTCATGTATAAAAGATTAGGATCTCTCTCTCCCTCTCTCTCTCTCTCTCTCTCTCACACACACACACACACACACACACACACACAGCAAATACTAAATTCCAGCAAAGCCAAAGTATATTATGTGACTTTTTATATGACGCTGATATATAAAAACATGGCTTAGAATAAATCTTTAGGATTTTTTAACTATATGGACTAACTAAATGGAACTTTAAAATTCTGTTCAATTTAAAAAAAAAAGCAGCATTCTGTAATTAAGATGTGCATGATTTCTCCTGATAATTAAATTCTGTCCAGCCCATTAAGTACTAGAAATATTGATTTTTGTGTTCCGTCTATGTAAAAGAACGCGCACACAAGAGAGAACTGCTTTGTTAAAACGAGCCTTTCTCCACTGCTCACTCTTCGGGTTTTGAGCAACTAATTTTTCTATTTCCTTTTTTTATCACCATTGAACAAAATAACGCTTATTTCCTGTATGCAAGGATGTGAAAAAGGACTTTTACACTTCAAATGAGCTCTCCACGGAAGGAGGCAATCAATGTTGGTGGCTTTTGGGACATCTGCCGTTCCGCCATGCTGCTGTGTTTCTAATCTGTTCGATTGTTTCCTTAGAAAATTGTGTATTAAACTGCCGGTACATTTTGATATTTATTGTAATGACTCAATAAAAATGTTCTTTGCTTTTAGAATAAGTACACCTTAATGTGTGTGTTTAGGGAATCTCTTTTCAGAGCGAAAAATAAGGAGTTACTGCACATATGCTGGGGTTCGAAATAATGTTGGTGGGAGGGAGGCACAAAAATAGTTGAAGAATCTAAGAATTGGATAGTATCTTGGAAACATTTCCTGAGCACAGGAAACACACACACCAAAAAAACAAAAAGTCTTATTTTAAATTGAGACATTTTATGGAGCTGTTCTGCCAAGCACTCCTGCGGGGATCACTAGAACTTGATTATCAGAGATCTTTCATCTTTTTAAACTTCAGGCATAAATCATTTATGCCTTTATAAGGTTGAAACGTGTGTTTCACTATTTTATAAATGTCCTGGAGAAAAGCAAGCACTGTGTGTTCCTTATCTTATTGGCAAGTACAGATGGGAAAGATAGTCCATACTTGGGGAACAAGGTTGGGTGGGTGGTGGTGTCAGCTGAATTCACATTTGTGTGATGCTGTGGTTTATTTAATGAAACAGTTGGCGGAAACCAAAAGCATTACAGCTGAGCAAGTTGTCCCAATCAGTCTTAGTGGCTCTACAAATATGGGAGGTTTGGATGGAATCTTTAATGATGATATCCATCCCATCCTTCCCAAACCTCTCCCCCCACCACCACTATTCTTCTCTCTTCTTAAAATGAAAATCTTGCATTTTCAGATACATTGGATTCCAGCTTTCAGCTTCTCTCTGATCAATGGGGAAGATGTGTGTCCAAACAAGCGTGCACAAGCCACCCGGTTGGGGTCAACTAGTACAGACCATTCTTGGAGCTCAAGCAATGAGCCATCCAGAAATGAGCCAAGGTAGAAACAGAAAAGGAGGAAAGCAAGATCAGTGTAAGCATAGAGAAACCAAAAGGTTTCCAGAAATAAATTAGAAAACTCCCAAGTGGAGAAACCTGGCTGTGTATTTGCACAGGAAATGGGGGCAGGTGACTAGGGAACTTCATGTATCCCAGAAGCAAGCACGCCTGCTGCCACCTTTCACTGGTGAAAAAAGTAAGATTCTACATTTAGGCAAGAAAAACCAAATGCACAGGTACAGTATAGGTCAGTGGTGGCGAACCTATGGCACGGGTGCCAGAGGCGGCACTCAGAGCCCTCTCTGTGGGCACGCGCGCTGTCGCCCCAGTCCTAGGCCTTCAGCTGGGTTTTATAAAACCTTTTCGCTTTAGGCCTCCACAGCCGTGTACAAAAAAAAAAAGGTTCAATCAATCAGTCAATTTCAACTTCTGCGGGAAAAAAAAATCTTGCAAAGTTGGAATTGATTGATTGAACTTTTTAGTCCCACCCAGTCTGCTGTTACCACCGCAGCCACGCCCACCCAATGGGGCCACACCCACCCAATGAACCACACCCACTCAATGGCCACACCTACCCGGCACCCGACGATGCATAAGTGGGTTTTGGGTTGCAGTTTGGGCACTCGGTCTCTAAAAGGTTCGCCATCACTGGTATAGGTGGTACCTTGCTCAATAGTAGTAACTGAGAGAGGGACCTCGGAGTCCTAGTGGACAATCCCTTAAATAGGAGCCAGCCGTGTATTGCAGCATCCAAAAAAAGCCAACACAATCAATGCTAGGCTGCATTAACGGATAGAATCAAAATCACATGAAGTGTTAGTACCACTTTACAATGCCTTGGTAAGGCCACACTTGAAATACTGCATCCAGTTTTGGTCATCACGATGTAAAAAAGATGTTGAGACTCTAGAAAGAGTACAGAGAAGAGCAACAAAGATGCTCAGGGGACTGGAGGCTAAAACATACGAAGAACAGTTGCAAGAATTGGGTATGTCTAGTTTACTGAAGAGAAGGACTAGTGGTGACATGATAGCAGTCTTCCAATATCTCAGAGATTGCCACAAAGAAGAGGGAGTCAGGCTATTCTCCAAAGCGCCTGAAGGGAGGACAAGAATGGAAATTAACCAAAGAGAGAAGCAACCTAGAACTAAGGAGAAATTTTCTGACAGTTAGAACAATTAACCAGTGGAACAAACTGCCTCCAGAAGCTGTGAATGCTCCAACACTGGAAGTTTTTAAGAAGAGATTGGACAGCCATTTGTCTGAAATGGTATAGAGTTTCCTGCCTGAGCAGGGGATTGGACTAGATGACCTCCAAACTCCCTTCCAACTCTATCATCATCACTATCATCATCATCATCATCACTTGTGCACCTTTTAAGGAAAAGATGGAAGAGTCAGGATCAGAAAAAGGAAAGGAGGCGAGGTTGTTGTGCAGGAATACAAGCTAATTTGAGGGCTAATCCACACGGAGCTCCATTTCCACGAGACTAAAATGGACGGTCTGAAACTTGAGCTGGCCACGAACAAGGTGGCGACTCTTTGAGAGCTGTATGCAACCGAAATTTCATTTTGATGTATGCCGATTGGTGTACATTCAAAGTGACAATAAAGTTGTTATTATTATTATTATTATATTTATTATATTATAATTATATTATATTAATTATATTATATTATATTAATTATATTATATATATTATATTATATTATATTTATTATTATATTATATTTATTATTATATTATATTATATTATATTATATTATATTATATTATTATATTATATTTATTATATTATATTATAATATATTATATATTATTATATTATATTATATTATATTATATTATATTATATTATATTATATTATTATATTATATTATTATATTATATTATATTATATTATATTATATTATATTATTATATTATATTAATTATATTATATTATATTATATTATATTATATTATATTATATTATATTATTATATTATATTATATTATTATATTATATGATATGATATGATATTATATTATATTATATTATATTATATTATATTATATTATATTATATTATATTATATTATTATTATGGAAGGTGAAGATGGATTTGCAACCCTGTGTTGCAATAAGGATTTGACATTAGCACCCGGACTGCAACCTTAATCCTCCTCACAACCCCGCCAGGTGCGGCGCTCTTCGTACACGCGTGTTCTCCACCCGCTCGCCCGCCCGTCTGTTCGGTACAAGCGTCCCACGCGCGTCTCCAGCTTTCTCGGCGCCTGCTAGTGGCACGCATGCGCGCTGCAGCCTCCCCACTCCACTGCTCCCTCTTCCTTTCCCCGCTTCGCCCTTCCCGACCTTTCCAAAATGGCCGACGACGAGGTCCCCGTCAGCTGTGCTAGCCCCGCCTCTTTCCGGCCTCTCCTCCCAATCCCGCGGGCCAGGCGAGCGCGGCCTCGAGCGGCGATTGGCTCCCGCGTGTGTGGCGGAAGCCGGCGCAGGCGGGAGGGGGCGGGATCCCGGCGGGGGGGGCTGCGCGCAGAGGAGGAGGAGGAGGAAGAAGAGGAGGCCCGGCGAGGAATGTGGAGAACCGGCATGGCTGCCGGGGAAGGCCTGCCGCAGATGCTCCGGGCGGTCCGGGAGCAAGTGCAGCAGGCGGCGGCCCGGAGGCCCCAGGTGCTGTCCCGGGGCTGGGGTGGAGGGTAGGGCCCGGTGGGGACCCCGCTCGGCACGGGCGTCGCTGAACCGGCTCTGCGCTCGGACTTCCCGCGGGGTCCTTCGGACTCTTCCGCGGCCGGAGTGGCCGGACTGCCCGCGGACCGTCGACGGACGCCTTCCAGGAGGGCTTGGGGACTACAACTCCCATGTTCTTCAGAGGCCGCCCTGGCTGGGAGGCGTAGTCCCCCGCGCCTCTGGAGCTCCTCGGGCGGCGAAAGGCGGAAAAAAAATTCTGATTTTTCAAAAGGCTTTTTTTTTTCTTCTTTTTTGTAGACGCAACTGCCTTCATCCCTCCTTCCCCCCCCCCACGCCACGGGTGGAGAGAAGGACGTCATTGCAAATATAATATCTTTATTGCAATTATAATATCTTTGGATCGCCTCTGACTTGGGCGGGGCGCCAGGCGGCTTGCAATACAATAGATAAAATGCAGAATCTAAATTTAAAAACAAAACAAAAAACTAATAGTAGGTGTTGTTCTTAGCTGCATGTTTGCCACAAAACAGAAGGTATTCAATGCAAAACGTAAAAATGCTTTAAAGCATGTTATCCTGAGCTGCGTGGCTTTACAATAGAATGCGTAAAAGACGCGATAATAGAAGTAAATAAGTTGATAGGTGTATTATTATTATTACGAATTGATTAGCTGCGTGGAGAATGGCTAGGCTGATGTCAGAGTTAAATCAGGTGATGGGCACAGAAAGTAGCCAACCTGCCTTCCTGCTGCCTTTTCCCCCAATCTATTCCAATTTAAATCTAATATCCGCCTAGCCCAGTGTTTCTCAACCTTGGCAACTTTGAGATGTGTGGACTTCAACTCCCAGAATTCCCTAAATAGCATATCTGGCTGGGGAATTCTGGGAGTTGAAGTCCACCCATCTTAAAGTTGCCAAGGTTGAGAAACACTGCCCTAGCCATTCTGTGCATCTGATGAAGCCAACAGCAGTTCTCAAAAGCTTTTGCCTTTTAGTTCAATTTGTTAGTAGGAAAAGGAGCTCCCAGGCATCTCCTGAGTTTTTAATCCCAAACTTAACTCTCCAATAATAAATTGCACGTGGTGTGTAGTCGGACTTGTCCCAAGTGAAAGGGTTGAGGCATCTAAAGATGCAAAATCCTTTTGCCTATGAAAGCGTCCGTTGGATTTTAGTGCATTCTTTAAGGTGACATAAAACTGTGATGTTCACAGGTTATTCATCCCCGCGGTTAGATAAAGTGAATACAGGAAATCCTCGACAACTTGTTTGTATCCAGCAGGCTTGGGAAATCCTAGAGATGGGGGAGCCCGCAAGATGGGCTCTGTGTAAAATACTGTGTGAAATGGTATAGGGCAGGGGTAGTCAGCCTTGGCTCTTTTATGACTCGTGGACTTCAACTTCCAGAATTCCTGAGCCAGCTATGCTGGCTCAGGAATTCTGGGAGTTGAAGTCCACGAGTCATAAAAGAGCCAAGGTTGCCTACCCCTGGTATAGGGTTTCCTGCCTGAGCAGGGGGTTGGACTAGATGACCTCCAAGGTCCCTTCCAACTTTATTATTATTATTATTATTATTATTATTATTATTATTATTATTATTATTATTATTATTATTATTATTATTATAATACTGGTCTGTTCTCCCATGTTTTAAGTTTATTTGCATTATTTGCGATTAACTGTTGTTTAAATTAACTGGTTGCTTACTGTATGCCCAGAGATGGGTAGCTATATAAATCCAATAAATAAATAATGAATTTGCCTCGTTCCAGGAATACACAAACTGGTCCTCTCCATGTCTCTTGGATTGTGTCTGCCACAATCCATGGACAGCATGAATGCCAATGAATAAAGCTTGTGCGAGTAGTCTAAAATGTGAAGGGGGACCCGGTTGCCCTCCTTTTGTTTGCCTGATATGTTGATGGGTCTTTAGTGATTGCTTTCCACATCCCACTTACCAAGCTGTGAGAAAACATGTAGAGACTTAATCATCTTCTTCTTCTTCTTCTCTTTGCAAATGCAGACCTTACCTACCACGCCACCTCGTTTAGTGGCTGTCAGTAAAACCAAACCAGCAGCAATGGTCATTGAGGCTTACAACCATGGGCAGCGTAGCTTTGGAGAAAACTACGTGAGTACCTGGCTTAATCTAAGGGTGAAAGACATGAAAGAACGAGACAGGAACCTCCTGGATGCCCAGCCTAATTGATTCTCCACCAACTTGACTTTGGAACTTGCCAGTTAATGTTAAATCAGGCTACGTGTTCCTGAAGCAAAGAAAATTAAACGTGCTAACATGAGATCCCTGAATTGTTTCAAGTAAGGCTGCTGGGACTCTCTTATTTTTCAGCTGCTTGAAGTATACATATGCTCATCCGCTGTATCTTCCAGAAGAATGCAACCTCTTCTGAAAAAGGTTGAGGTTGTAAAAGCAGTTAAAATAGATTTTGAGTCCTTTCCAACAGATATGAGAATCTTCTTATGCTGCAGATGGATCAGAGATCTTTATATAATCTTTCACTTTGTGATTTACCTAGTAGTGTTGATACACATGGGAAATGTATGTGTATCTTTCATTGTATGATTTATCTAGCACTAAGTACTAGTGTTGATACATATGCAAAGTTAATTTGTTTTTTATAACCCTAATAAATATATTTAAGCAAATAAGGTAGGGCACCACACTTCTGTTGAATGTGTATGTACAATGATAGTACTGTTTATTCAGGACAAATAAGCAGGTGGTGACACTGTGCACGGTTTGAGCAGAAGTTTCTTCTCTTTCCTGTAACTTAGCTTTTTCTAATCCTTTTTGTTTTTCTTGCGATGTCAATTATGACAGCCTGCATGAAGTAAATGAAAGTAAACTTTGAAATCTGAATTGGATGTTTTTATTTTCTATAGGTCCAAGAATTATTAGAAAAGGCATCAGATTCCAGTGTAAGTAGGGGTATGTGTATTTCTTAGATAAAAATTTCAAGTGGTCAGTATTCTGATCAGTATAGAACATATCATTGTTGGAATAAATTGGCCACTCATTTCTTCTGCAGAAGATTCCTCTCTATTGAAATTTTGCAACTTGGTCTAGGTCTAAATAAGAGACTACTTTGAATGAGGTAGTTCTTTGTCTTTGAGAGTAATTTGAAACACTTTTCTCATATGAAATGCTCTGGAAACTGGTCAGGGTTATTAGCAATAGTAATTAGGTAAAGTGAAACATGCGTGCATAACAAGAATATCCATATTTTTTATAAAGAAGTTGGTTGACATTTGTGCCTTTCTTTGAAAATCGGAATTGTTTTATGACTTTTAATCCTATGTATCTCTATATAGCAGTTTTGATGGATAAATATAAAATAATGCCATTTCGTTTCAAGCCAGAATGTCACATTTCCTTGTCTCTATCTTAGATTCTTTCTTCATGTCCGGAGATTAAATGGCATTTTATTGGCCATCTGCAGAAGAGTAATGTCAACAAGCTAATCGGTAATTATATTTGCTTTTAGTTCTGATTTAAGAGACTGGGTAGGGGAAAATTTACGATAGCAAGAAAGGCTTGATGTGATACGTTCAAGTTAAATGAATGTCTCCCTTTGCTTTGGAAGTTCAGATTATGATGTGTGTATTTATTTTTTAATTGAATTTATGTACCCACCCATCTCACTATGAAGTGACCGTTCATAAATTATTTATCTGAATGAGGGGAGGGGGTCAAATAAAGCACAGGAAATGTTTCTGAACAGATTGTACTGGGCAAGGTACAGGCCACTCTCTCCTTAATTCTGTGCAAGCCTTCCAATCTTACGATCGGCTGCTTTATTGTATTTAATTATTTTGTGCCATCTATGTAAATGGTGCTTAATAAATGACTTAATATGACAGGTCTATCCAAGGGATTTCTAGAAATGATGCAAGAAAAGAGAATAGAATCTGGGAAAATGAATAGAATCGTGAATAGGCAGGGAACAAACATACAGCCAATTCACTGAACGACAATAATCTAATTGATATATTTTAAGTATCGGCGGGAGCAAACCCTCTTCCATTTTCATAACTTATTAACCACTTACTGTTGAATTTCGGAATAATAAAGTAAGTTTCTCAGCAGCATGGTTGGTTGTGGAATTTTGGAAGTTGAAGTCCACACGTCTTAAAAGTTGCCACAGTTGAGAAACATTGGTCTGGTGCAGGAGTAGGCAACCTTGGCTCTTTTATGACTCGCGGACTTCAACTCCCAGAATTCCTGAGCCAGCGTGGCTCAGCAGGGAAACCTCCCCCTTTCCCCTCAGCATGGCTGGCTCAGGAATTCTGGGAGTTGAAGTCCACAAGTCCTAAAAGAGCCAAGGTTGCCTGCCCCTGGTCTAGTGCATATCACAAATGATATTTGCTAAGACCCTTTTTTATTTGTTTCAGTGGTGCCAAACCTATTTATGCTGGAAACAGTGGACTCCATTAAACTGGCGGATAAGGTGAACAGTACTTGGCAAAAAAAGAACTCTTCTGAAAAGTTAAAGATCATGGTGCAAATAAACACCAGTGGAGAAACGAGTAAGTAGACGAGGTGTTGTACTTCCACACACAAACATGACTGAGTCATGCTAAGGTTTTGGCTGGTTTGTCCATTTGAGTATAAAGTCAAGAAGCTCATTTTTGAGAACTTGTGATGCACACATTCAATGGGTGGCGAAGAGTGATATCTACACTTTGCAGAGTTTGGCAGGATATCTATAAAAGACTACAATGTTTGGATTTGAAACCACTTGGAAAACCTACACCCCAACAACTTAACTTATGGGCTTCCCTTTACAAATACTACACCAGTTGCACTAAGATAGCTAAATGGCCAGCAAATGGTCCCAATGTCATTTCTCCATGAGTATGGAGGAATAGGATTTATGATTTTGTTAGTCTTGGACAAAGAATCTCTCGTGCCATAATTGTGAAATGCATCTAAAACTCGCCGGGGGTATCTTCCTGTAAAGGACTCCATCCACAGAAAGTGCACTGATATGTTCTCTGTTATAGGTAAACATGGGCTTCCGCCTGGGGAACTGATCACAACGGTGGAACACATCCTTCAGAAATGTCCCAACCTAGAATTTGTTGGCTTGATGACAATTGGAAGCTTTGGGCACGATCTCAGTAAGGGTCCCAATCCCGACTTCCAGGTGGGTGAAATTCTGAGAGATAATACTGGTAGGAAAATCTTGGCTTTTAAGGAAGAGATTGACCTATGTTCTTTCTCCCCTCCCCAACATCTTTCTCCAGCTGTTAATATCTCTGCGTCAAGAACTGTGTGAAAAGCTCAATATCCCTATTGAAAAGGTTGAGCTGAGCATGGGGATGTCTACAGACTTTCAACATGCAGTAAGTCTGTTTGTCCCTTTCACCAAAGATTTATCTATCAGAAACCTTTTGATGTTGCCATCTCACCCATTGAAGGAAGCTACTGAAGGGTCTAGATCAGGGGTAGATAACCTTGGCTGCCAGCATGGCTGGCTCAGGAATTCTGGGAGTTGAAGTCCACAAGTCATAAAAGAGCCAAGGTTGCCTACCCCTGGTCTAGATCATCTTTCCTAACCTAATACCCTCCTAATGTGTCAAGCTATAAATGAATGAACTTATTTCCAGCTAAGTGGAATGGTTTATCTCCTCCACTGTTATCTAAGGAATACTTAAACAGTGGACTAGTTGATCTAGACCAGACATGTCAAACTCGCGATGTCATGTGACGTCGTGCAACGTATCGGAGCTTTTTCCCCATTGCCGGCAATGGGGTGGGCGCGGTTTCCTCATGACGCGTACGGCCCATGGGCTGGCAGTTTGACACCCCTGATCTAGTCAGTAGCAAGTTCTTTGTGGATTTATTCAAGGACAAGCCAAGCACCAACTGCTGGACCTTTTTACCCAGAACTGTTATCAACTGAACTTGGATGGTTTTTTGGGGAGGGATGTAAAGCATGTGATTTACCTCAGAACCTAAATTATGGTGGCTTCCATTATGGCTTGTCTTCACCAGGCTAGATTAGAGGAAGACATAGTTCAAAGACAGCAAATCTCCATATTCAGAAGATTAATAGGCATCTCCTATTAGAAGGACTAGATAGAAAGTTCTAAGATCTTAGTGGGTAACTGCTACAAAGTCCTGGCTAGATGCACTAGATGTGTTCCTATAAATCAACTTGCATGGATTCAAGAGTTTTGATTCATTCATTTGGATTGGCTTAGGTGTTTGCTGCTATTGCCATTTGATCAGTGGGACCCGTGAGGCAGTTCCATTCCACTAGTTGCCTAAAACCAGCGTTTCTCCCCCCCTAGCAAATGATAGGTGTACTTCAGAACCCAGACTTCTGACTTGTCAAGGTTGAGGATGCCTGTTCTTGCTCCACATTCCTAGCTAAGGGAGAAGGAGGTTCCTTCAGTTCACGTCATGTATGCCGCTCCTGACAGTAGTTCTTTCTCTCACTTTTAACTCTGCCCAGATTGAAGTTGGCTCTACCAACGTCAGAATCGGAAGCACAATCTTCGGAGAACGCAGCTACCCTAACAAGCCCGCTAGCGACAAAACCCATAAGGAGGTCAAGGACAGATTGGAGAATTTGACTCTGAAGGAGAACTAGTAGCAGAGGCCCAAGGGATTCCCTCTGTTGGAGAGAATCTGCTTGGGTACCCAGACCCTCGACTCTTTCTTTGTCCTGATGACAGTGGAGCACTAGCAGGTACATGGCAGGTGTGACAAGGACTCCAGCACCTGTACCTTTATTCTTGTATATCCATTGAGATTGCATTTATAGAAAAACAAAACACAGCAGCAGCAGCAGCACCTGTGATTTGACTTCGGTACTTTAACTGCAGTGACTTTAAATAGCTACACTGGATAACTATTTGACTGAAGCCCGACTAGGTCTGGGCAGAACCCCCATTTCCAGGAGTGACCATGATGCATTTGTAATCAGAGGCATGTTTCTGGTTTGCTTCCCTTTGAAGCCAGGTTGCCTTAGGGAAAGGTTATTCCCCACCCTCCCACACTCTCAAAAGCTTGTATGAGTCAACTTCTGTGTTTTGTGTGAATCAACACACCTTTGCTATCTTTAATCTTTCCTGTGGCATTTCAGGAAACAGGCTCAGATGGGATGGTTTGCTGAGTAGTCCAACAGGGGAACCGATAGATAGGCATCCCAGTGAACATCAAACCTATCCCTGGATCTGAGATTTGTTGGAAGAGATTGCAGCTGATATTGTTCTCCCGATTATTACCACTGCCGACACTGAGGACTAGCTGTTTGCTGTACTATTTGCTCTATAATGTAGTCCTGATTTTTTTTTTTCCCTTTCTTTCTTTGGATCGAGTAAAATTTGGAGCGATTATGATAAGGAAGCAGGATGACTCTGCTTGTAAAATGCCAAGAAAACCCGCTGGCTCTACTGCCAACGTGCAGGGTGATCTCTTAACCGTGCTGTGCCTGATCCCTATATGAGAAATGGGGCCGACCTACCTCACGTGGCAAATAGAGGGAGGGGGGGGCTCGGTGTGAAACCTCCCCCCTCGTTATCATCATTCCATAGGAAAGGCAGTGCAGCTGCAGAATGAAGCAGCTTCCAGTGTCTGCCTAACCGAAGGCCAAGCCAGATCTTGCAGCTAGCCATGATTTGCTCGCTTGTGCGTCTGCGTGCACGCGCACACGAGATGAGCCAGAGATGGAATTGCAAGATTGGAAGTGGCACGTATGCAAAGAATGGTTTTCCCGGACGAGCTATGGAATTTCTGCATTTTAATGCAAAAGCCCAGTCCTTCCAGGTTTGGGGTCTGGAGAGTTAGTAAATGGTGACGGGTTGTATCCCCCCCACTGTATATACATTGTACACCACCCACCCCGCATCTTTAAAAAGTACACCTTGACCAAAATCGTGTTGAAACAGAACGCAACGCTAAAGATCCATCAGAATATTCAGCCTTCCTTCTGCAAGTTGGTGAAAATGTTTACAGTGGAATCTGTTTTGTAACTCACATATTGACAATCTACTTGAAAGCCTGGCCTCATGCTGTAAGTGATCTTGGCAGAAATATGTGTTAATTTAAAAAAAAAAACCTCTGCTTTTTTTCCTTTGTAACAAAATGCTTCTAGCTCTGTGCATCTCTGGAATAATTTAACGGTGTACCTTTGAGCCCATTGTCATCTAAAACACATGCTTGACTCGTAGAAGGCTCCAGATTTAACCCCAGCACCCCTAAATAAAAGGGTAGCAGATTATGGGTCTGAATTCTACTTGACATTTTCAACGCCCAGTAGCAATCGTAGAATGTGTTGGACTTATCAGGTGAGATTCTTTATCCAGGTAAAAGCCAGTTTCCTTTATTTGTAATTTTGGGAGTCACTTGATTGTTCACATCTTGGATGCCATTTACGTGCCATTAAAGCTCTCACATCTGATTGACTGTAAACTTCAATTGGGCGAAACGTTCATAGGGCGACAGATTTTGAGTCCACGTACCTCCAGCAGGCTATCTTACAGAATGCATCCAGGATCCAGGATTCCCAGGGGATTGAAGTTTGACAAAGTTGTGGCCCCTTCAGTGCTGCTGTGGACAGCTGCGATCACATCGTTATTTCCAGTGCTCCCTGCGAGCTTCCTACAAGGAAAGTCAATGGGGAGGACAGCAGGATGTCAAATATCACTGATGCTCCCACTGCCGCTCCCTCATGGTCATTCTGTTTCTGTGTTTAGGGAAAGAAATATCTCTCAAATGGTGACCCAACAGGGTTGTCTGGTTCTAATATATAACTGCAAGGTACAGAACATACTTCTAGCCAGTCTTTTACAGCACAGGTACAATGCTAAATGCAGTCCAAACTGACCTGTCCCAGTTCCTGAGCTCTTTTCTTTGTCTTAAGAATAAAACTAGTTGCGAATCGAAATACTAAGCTGTTAAAGATATATAGTTTTTCCATTTTCCATCCTGTGGTGTGGATGCTTCGAGCAGAGAGTCACCTGCATCAGCTTGGACTTTTATTGCCACATCCAGGCCCAAGAACGTTTCGTTTTGGTATCTGGTGAGAACAGTGTAATTGTTCAGAAAGTCTATTACTGGACTAAGAGGGGAATCTGAAGATTGCGTGTCGCTCCAGTGACAGGACCAAGCTGGGTTGACATGAAGAAGATGTGCAAGCAGGTGGCACTTTTGAAGAGTGCCAAGAAAAAGTCAGTAATGGATCTTCAGGTGCCTGGCGTTGTTAAGACCGGTGCAAAAAGATGGCTTGCAAGCATCCTTTTCATAGACCTTTGAGGTCATACCTCTAAGACTGAGCTTTCACACGTTGAGTGAAAAATAACAAAGGGGCAATAGGGTGCCTTAAACCTTGCGTTTTCTCCTGGCCTCGCCACATATATTGTGTGAGCGTGGGCAGGCTATACAAGGTTCAGAAGCCCACCAATAATGCATCCACCTGCCCCACAGGTTTTTACTGTGGGAGCAAAGTACACGTAGTCCTCAACTTAATGACCCCAGTTGGGGTCAGAATTTCCATTGTTAAGCAAGGAAGTGGTTTAAGTGAGTGATGCTCAAGTTGACGACCTTGAAGGAAATCGCTGCCGTTGTTGAAGTGAATCGTTTGGTTGTTAAGTGAACCCAACTTCCCCCATTGATTTTGCTTTTTGGAAGCTGGCTGGGAAGATCGCAAATGATGGACGTAAATACATACCGGTCGCCAAGCCCCCAAATTTTGATCACGTGACCATTGGAGAGGGTTGTAAGTGTAAGGACCAGTGGTAAGACACTTTTTTCAGGGCTGATGCAATTTCAAACAGTTGCTAAAAGAATAGTTGTAAGTCAAGGACTGCCTGCACAATCTCTCAAGGAATCAGGCTGTTAAGCTCAGAGTTCTTTCCTTTTTGAAGTTTCTTTGTAAGAAAGCAGTCGTCCTTAGAACTTCAAGTTGAACGGTGATACTTTCCCATCTTCTCCAGATTTCAAAGGAGAACATGTGTACGCTTGTATTCTTGTGTGGCGTGCTCTTGCGTGCATGTGTATAAAAATCCTGGGAAACTAGAATGAGACTGTAGGTGGCACCATTTGTTCATTCTCAAAGAGCAAGGATGCGGAGTTCATTATGGTCAACCATGTATTTCTGCTTCAGGAAGTGGAAGTGTGCCAGAAAATTGAATTTCGGGTTTGCTTTTTTTAAAAAAAAAAAGCCGTTTGTTGTTCACTGTGTATAGAGCACATATCCGTTGATAAGAATAAACTGTTTATCAGTGATAAACACTTTTAACATCCCAAACTGGTATATTAGGGAATTTGCTTTACCACAGATGCCCTAAATGCTAGAGGAGATCAACCCTGATTGCTCTTTAGAAGGCCAGATCCTGAAGTTGAAACTCAAATACTTTGGCCACCTAATGAGAAGGAAGGACTCACTGGAGAAGAGCCTAATGCTGGGAAAGATGGAGGGCAAGAGAAGAAGGGGACGACAGAGAATGAGGGGGCTGGATGGAGTCACTGAAGCAGTAGGCGTGAACTTAAATGGACTCCAGAAGATGGTAGAGGACAGGAAGGCCTGGAGGAACGTTGTCCGGGGTCGCGATGGGTCGGACACGACTTCGCAACTAACAACAAAAACTGGAAAGCTAAAATCCATGAAGGTATTCTTCAAATATCTTATAAACAGAGGCACAGAATCAAAATCACGTGAAGTATTAGTTCCAATTTATAAAACCTTAGTAAGACCACACCTGGAATACTGCGTGCAGTTTTGGTCACCACATTACAAAAAGAAATGTTGAGACTTTGGAAAAAGTGCAGGGAGCAGCAACTAAGATGATTAAAGACCTGGAGACTAAAACATAACAAAGAATGGTTGCAGAAACTGGGCATAGCCAATCTAGGAAAAGGACTAAGGATGACATGATAGCAGTATTCCAGTATTTGAGGGACTGCCACAAAGAAGAGGGGGTCAACTTATTTTCCAAAGCATCAAAGGGCAAGGCAAGAAACAATGGATGGAAACTAATCAGGGAGAGAAGCAATCTGAAATTAAGGAGAAACTTCCTAACAGTGAGGACAATTAACCAGTGGAACAGCTTGCCTTCAGAAATTGTGGGTGCTCCATCACTGGAGGTTTTTAAGAAGAAACTGAACAGTCATTTGTCTGAAATGATATAGGGTCTCTTGCTTGAACAAGGGCTTGGACTAGAAGACCTCCAAGATCCCTTCCAGCTCTATTCTGAGTAGAAATATTGGATTTTCAAAGCAACATCCTTCTTGCAGCTGTGGAATGATGCATTTTTTGGTATATTGAGAGCAATAGGCTACTGAATTGGAAGTAATAGTTCTGTAGAGATCCCATTCCTTGTTTTATTTTTTATAATAACCCAGTGAGCTAGATCGGTGGATCCATTAGTCTCCGGCGAAGTTCATAATAAAGTAGGAATCTGAACCCAGGTCATGGGTGTTAATTGGACACCATAACTATTATGTTAGAGGCAGGCGACATGTTGCCCTCCGGATATTCTGAACTTCAGCTCCATCCAGAAAGGGTTTGTGAGATTTGTATTTCAGAATATCCAGAAGTCCTCAGATGGATCATCCTTGCATTACCAAAACAAGGGTTCTACTGAAGCAGCCAAAAAAACTAATGCAGTCCTAGGTTGCATCAACAGAAGTTCTCCATATATTCACCAAAGCTCCTGAAGGCAGGACAAGAAGCAACGGATGGAAACTAACTGAGGAGAGAAGCAACCTAGAACTAAGGAGAAACTTCCTGACAGTTAGAACAATTAACCAGTGGAACAGTTTACCTCCAG